TTCCTGCTTGACACACAACCTGCCCCGGCTCATGAACCCTGCCGGAGGTACAGCCGTGCCACATCAGAGAAAACGGCAACGAAGCTGGGTGAATTCCACTCTTCTACCCTCTCCTCTTGTACAACTCTCTTCAGCGTCTGCTGTAGAGAGATAGGGAATAAACTTAAAACCTATCTCAGAGGATCAATACATCTGGCAACGAGAACAGACCCATGTCTTCAGCAACATCCCACCCATGCAGGAAATCAGGCTAGATTTCCTTCTTGACATTTTGCACTGAAATGGTCCTGTGCCCTCAAAAGGGGGCAGCAACTGTTGACTAACTTCTATTGTCTTGCAATGTTTTATTAAGTACTTGCACAGTGACATACAGCACAGCACATGCAAGTCACTAATACAAACAGTTTACAAAAGCCAAGCTTTAAAAAACCCACAAGATTAAGCATCACTGAATGTCGAATGGAGAGAAGCAGCGCCTGTGTCGATACCCAGGTCCATTGGTGCAGTTTTCTTTGTGAACTGGAATGTTAAAATGATCAAGGGATTTATCAAATCAGAAAATGCAGAGGTTAGTACTAACGTTAAAAAGAAACTCAGAGCCCAGATGTCCTTGCAGAAAGCACTTTCAAGAAGGAAACCTCTCTTCAAAGTGGGATGGAAGAGATGTGGGCTTGCAGGAAAAGGGCTATGCAATAAGCACAGAGAATATAAATAGGAAACAGATTTAATAACGGATCTGAGCAAGCTGTAGAGATTGGCAGGGGGGCAAGAGATCCTGAAAAACCCTGTAATATAGTGACCTTACAATGCACAAAGCAATTATCAATAATTGTGTTACCTTAAAGACAAATTAAATCTCATTTTAAACAATTAAGAATCAGATTCTAATGCTTGTTATACGATGCTTAACCTCTGAAGAGATGTTTATGAACTATGTGTACAAGATTGAATCTGTCTTTGAAACTGGCATTTTACTTGCTGTAGAACAAGCTTTTTCTTCAACCAAGGGTAGAAAATCTGAGCCAGCTCTATGGTGACTTGCAGTCCAGTATTACACATCAACTAAGAGAAAAAAATTCAGAAGCCGAGAAACTTGCTGTTTGAAAGACAGAAACTAATTAGTGTTAGTAAAAACCTGCAGAATTAGCAGTACTGGCCAGGCCAGTAAAGTACATCAATCAGTAACACTCATACAGCGACTGTAAGGTACCTCACCCTAACTCCTAATTTATCTTTTAAAAAAAAACACCTTTGGAGCATTTTGGAAGAGTAAGGTATAGCTATGGTCTCAGACTACCACCAAAAAATCCCTAGTCATGGAAAAATTTAGCAAAGAGCACACTACAGTGACCTTTTGAATTATCTTTTAGCTGCTGTAAAACACAATCTCCTTATTGTTGCAAAACAGGATGATATTTTGTAATTCCATGCAATTAGCATCTCAAGTAGACAGGCTCAGAATAGAAGCTTTGAGTTCCAGTGTCAGGAATACTGTTTGACAACCAGTTCAGCATCATCTAAGGTTAAAAATAAAAAAAAATACAAAATAAAAAGAATATATTGCACACAAGAATTGCTAAATTGTTACAGCACCCTGGATTTCTTTCAGCTTTTCCCCAACCAGGAGCTGAGATTTAAATTTAAGAAATACAGAAAAGTGCTGGTCCAGAACATTAAGTTTATGATATAAGGCAAAACACACTAAATTCCTGTTTCTTTCAAAACAAATTATATACCTTGATTCACAGGTATGAAATGATTAATTTCATATTCTTGAAACCATTTAAAAATAGTAATGAAAGCCTGAAATGCTTCTGGTTTTGTAAGAGCACCCTTGCACATGGAATCCCAGTTATGCCAGCCATCTCAGGGCTTTGTAAGATGGACAAAAATTTTTTAAAATATGCAAAGTAACTGAAGTGTGTCTATGCACTCCTGTTGGCATGCCAAATCTGTGATTTAAAAAAACCTGCCCAATATGGGCAAGGTCCCAAGTTTACTCTAAGAGATCAGTCCTTCACTAAACACTTTTCCTGCAGCCTAGCCTTCTCGTTACCACATTTCCTACCTCAGCCATTTGAAATAATGGCAGGGTTAGGGTAACGGTTGGACTTGATGATCTTAAAGGTCTTTTCCAACCTAAACGATTCTATGTTTCTATGAAATGAGCCTCACGCTGCCTTTCACTTGACACACACATACAGCTAGATAAAAGTCTGCATAAGGAAAGGTACAAGAAGGCATTCAAGCATTCTTCTACAATGAAAATTTTTAAAGTCAGGCTTAATTATTTTTTAATTAAGTCAAAAATCTCTTCTTAAATGTTAGTATTTTTCCCATTTGATATCCTGCAGATTCTATATCCATCACAGACTTACACAGCCATAAAGCCAGTGAATGCTGGAGGCAGCCTCTTGCCCAAATAGAGGTATAGGCACCAAGAACTGATTCCACAAATTACACCTAAAATTAAATCTGAGTTGCATTTTTGTGTACTGCCATCCTGACACCACATGCAGTCTTTCTCCAAACCCCAAATAAACCCATGTTCCTTCCTGTACAAATGTATTCATCCATTCCGATATTCTTTTCTAAAAAGGAAAGCTTCTTTCTACTACGCTCTATTTAGCAATGAGAAGAAAACAAAGATGTGCAGAAATTTCAAGAACAGAGAAAAACAGACTTGACGTGCAAGTAATTATAGCTGTCCCAGTTCTACCCTGACAGCAGACCCTTCCGACCTGCTGTTCGCTGCTATGCTGCGCCATAATCATCATTCCACTTGCTTTCACAAAAGGCATCCTCTTTCCCATAGTGCTTCCACCCTGCTGAGATGAGGAACTTAAATTTCTGATACACTCTAAGGACAGGAAGAGCAGGGTATGCACAGAACAATCGCAAAGCCAGTGGCAACCCGATCGACACGGCATCCAGCGCTGGGTAACTGTTTATCTCACTCTGCACTATGGATTGCATTTGAGAGAGAAACCATAGCCAAAAGATCACTTTAGCAAGAGATGATAAAACACGCAGAAATTGGGGTACGTCACTGCCATCACTATCGCCACATTGTAAAGACACGAGTTATCTGAGGAAGGACGCTGTTGATCCCAAGATCCCTCACTTACTGATGTGGCTTCAAAATTCTCTCAAACATCACCACTGGCACTGAAGTACTGTTTGACAGTATTTCAGACAAATCATTCCAACTCAAATCTCAAATCTACTGTGCTCTAAACTAAAGCTAATTATTTCCCAGCTGAAAACCACCCTACTGTTCTGTTTGGTTGTTCTGCACAGTTGGTCCCCTGTTTCCTTGCAAGGTCATTCCACTTCTCTCTCAACAAGATCTCCCTTTGCACTGGAAAGGAAAAAAAAAAAATATAAAAATTTTCAGCTATTAAAGGTGCCTGTTAATTTAAAAGACGCATCAGGATATTTTATACATCATCTCCAGACAGAGCATTGTTCACAAAACACTCAAAAGAACTGCTTTTACTAAGCTGAAGTATATATTCTACGTTGCATGAGACTGATGGATTCATTCTCCCAACAGCATGAATGATTCAAATCAGGCTTTATTTATGTTTAACAGTGGAACTTCTGATCTGTTCATTACCATAATCCAGGAAAGACAGGCCTCATTTTAATAGAATTAAGCGATCTCGAAAAGACACAAAGCTTTGGCAGTCCCAAGGGATGCTCAGTCTGCACTCATTTTATAGTGCCATCTGCGACTGTTTGAGGAGTATACAGATATTTACCACTTCTCTGTCAGTAACTTCTGATGGGTCTGGAGGTTTATTACAGCAGCACTTAGCAACTGTGTGTGGTGTCCCAAAACCCAGGATCTTCATTTTGCTATATTATTTCTATAATACAGCTTGCTTCTGTAGAACTCAAAGCTGACTTGGTTAAACTAAACAGAGTCTGAGTAATTTTGTCCCTAGCATAGCAAGAAGCCACTTCAGAATAATCACAGAATTGTTTAGGCTGGAAAAGACCTTTAAGATCATCAAGTCCAACCCTTAACCTAACCCTGCCATCCCACCACTAAGCCATGTCCCTAAGCACCTCATCTACCTGGCTTTTAAATACCTCCAGGGATGGGGACTCTACCACTTCCCTGGGCAGCTCGCTCCAATGCTTAACAACCCTTTCGGTGAAGAAATTGTTCCTAATGTCCAACCTAAACCTGCCCTAGCGCAACTTGAGGCCATTTCCCCTCGTCCTATCACCTGTTACTTGGGAGCAGAGACCAACCCCCACCTCACTCCCCCCTCCTGTCAGGCAGTTGTAGGGAGCGATAAGGTCTCCCCTCAGCCTCCTCTTCTCCAGGCTGAACACCCCCAGGTCCCTCAGCCGCTCCCCATCAGCCTTGGGCTCCAGACCCCTCACCAGCTTGGTTGCCCTTCTCTGGACATGCTCCAGCCCCTCAATGTCCTTCTTGGAGTGAGGGGCCCAAAACTGAACACTGCCTCACCAAGTGCCAAGTACAGGGGCACGATCACTGCCCTACTCCTGCTGGCCACACTATTCCTGATAGGAATATTGGATGCTGTTGGCCCTCTTGGCCACCTGGACACACTCTTGGCTCATACTCAGCCAGCTGTTGACCTACAGCCCTCCCCCCACTTTTCCTCCAGGCAGGTCTCCAGCCACTCTTCCCCAAGCCTGTAGCATTGCATGGGGTGGTTGTGACCCGGCAAGTCCTGTGACCAAGTGCAGGACCCGGCACTTGGCCTTGTTGAACCTCATACAGTTGGCCTCAGCCCATGGATCCAGCCTGTCCAGATCCCTCTGCAGAGCCTTCCTCCCGTCATGCAGATCCACACTCCTGCCCAATTTGGTGTCATCTGCAAACTTACTGAGGGTGCACTCATAAGCTCCTATGCAAGAGGTCCTCCAGTTCTCACTTAGGTTTGATATGCACAGTACGACAAAGACAGCAAACAGCCCAGCTGGGTAATGACACATGTTTTTCTTCTTATCCAGCAATATTTAAAATATATATATTATATAGACTCACAGGAGAAGTTTTTACATAAACGAGAAGTTGTTTGAATTGAGGGTTAAGCATCACACAGAGGGCACATGGAAAATAAATGCCTTCCCATTTGTTGGGCACGGGGTCAGAACACCACCACTGTCCTGCCCTGGACTAGAAGTCTTCTCTTTCTGCCTTTATTGCAGCACAATGATGAAGGTATCAATGAATCTGTGGTTTATTCACAACCCAACATATCCTAAAGTGCTTAGGAAAAGCCCATATATAAAAAACTCCACTCAAGCCTATTAACAGCAGAGCCTGAAGTATCTGGAAAGTACCTGACTGCACAAGTTTTCTAATACTTAAAGGCACAGCTTCTACCATCATAATCAAGCACCACAACTGAACTCTTTCAAAAAAAGAGCTACGAAAATCTACTTGTCTGAGAAGAGAAAACAGTATCCAGTGCTCTGCACAACAGCACCACTGGAAATTGCCGATGAGCTCTGCTCCATGAGTATCTCTGTGAACCACACCTGGTTTTCCCTTCGTCTCCTTTTCCAAAAAGTCTTGCCTTTTGTATAACTGACTTCTCCAGGCTGGTCTCCTCGTGCCAGAGCGCTGTTCTCCCTGCCTTCTGGGAATATCTTTGGTAGGTGCCTGCTTTGACATTTAAAAGGAACCAACCAGCGTTATGCACAATCCTTCTAGGAGTGGTTCATACTTTTGTACAGCCCTAAATTGTCACAGGGTTGAAAAACCTGAATTATAATTTCATAATTCAGTATGTTTCAAAGATACGTTTGCCATATATTCCAATGCATGTACCACATACATACAGATTCATCTGTCATTACCAATGAACCAAACTTTTTGCAGTGGCATGCACTGTTAAAACAGTAGCTGTTTATTACTGCTAAAGCATACGATACTGAGGTAGAAAGTGGTATTTACAAAGTTCTCAGAAGATTAAACATTTGAAAACTGTTCTGGGAAGGCTTGACAGAGAGCCTCAAAAAAGTATAATTTTTATTCCAGTGAACGTCAGGAGAAAAAAAAAAAAAAAAATTCATTTTAGTAACTTTAAACCCTTGGCCCTTTTCCATAAGAGCTGATCTTCCGGAAAGCTGAATTCAGGTTTTGGGAATTTTTCTTCTCTAACAACAGATTGAAATTAGTTTGAACCCAAGGGCAACTTCTTTAATACCTGTCCAACACACATTTGACCTTCTCTTCTATGAAAAGCTTGAGAGTCTCTCTCATCCGAAGAGAAAGGGAAGTTTAAGCTGGATTTCATCTTTCAGCTGTCAGGGTTTATGAAAGAAACATGAAAATGAAAAGTGACTTGCCTCACAATTAACAAGAAAAGAAACTGAAGCCCCAAATCAAAGCATCAGACAGATAAAATATTTAGCATTTATAGAGTGCTCTTCCTGTAGAATGATCCAATGACATTTTTCAGGCCTGTGTGGAAATCGCTGCAGCATTTTAATGATATCTTTACAGAAGAATTTTAGACAGGTGATAGATTTTGTATGTTAATTAAAGCTGCAGAAGACTCGAGGTCAGCAGAACAATACTGCTTGATCTAATTTAAGAAAAACACTGAGCTTAAATTTAGCCTGCTGTACACACAGATTGCACTGGCTTAGCGACAATATTATTTCATATTGATTTTGTTGGACTTGCAATTTTTTCACTGACATTCTTATAACCCTACTCTGTTCAGACTGTACAGTACACAAGGACAGCAATCTGATTATCTGCTATTAATTCATACCATTAGAAAATAGCTCAATGAAGGTCAGGTTTTCTGATACTCAAGATAAAGATCAATACACGTTAGTTTGTACATTTGGTCTTTTACAGGGTATTAAGCTTGCTTTTAGAATGTATTTTCAGGTAGATAAAGTGACATGTAAGAAAAACTCTGAAAACCTCGGGATCTGCATCAGAAAATGGCTGTCTAGGGAAAACAAGCTATTGCAAAACAGTTTCCCATGTTTTTTGGAAACGAGGCATTTTTAAACGTCTCATTTCATAGAATCATAGAATTGTTTAGGTTGGAAAAGACCTTTAAGATCATCAAGTCCAACCCTTAACCTAACCCTGCCATCCCACCACTAAGCCATGTCCCTAAGCACCTCATCTACCTGGCTTTTAAATACCTCCAGGGATGGGGACTCGACCACTTTCCTGGGCAGCCCATCCCAGTGCTTGGCAACCCTTTCAGTGAAGAAATTTTTCCTAATATCCAATCTAAACTTCCCCTGGTACAACCTGAGGCCATTTCCCCTCATCCTATCACCCATTACCTGGGAGAAGAGACCAACCCCCTCCACACTCCCCCCTCCTGTCAGGCAGTTGTAGAGGGCTATAAGGTCTCCCCTAACATCTCATCAAACAGTAGTATGGATTTTAAACTTCCAGCAAAACCAGCCCAGTTTTGTGTAGTGGAAGCAATGCACTATGTGCTTCCTAAGAAAGTCTGTGACTTGATCATTAAACAAAGTGTATACGTGAATGACTGAGATGCATTAATTAAAAAAAAAAAATGATCACAGGTGCTGCAGCATAAATTAGGTTTTGTATTGTTTCAGTTAAACATGTTTCTCACTGGACTCAAAGATATCAGTGCATTTCTAAAAAGCAAATCTCAGGAGCAAGAGGTATTGCCACAAAGACTCAACAAGACACCGTTAAGTATTGGGCTGATAGCAGCAAACAAAATAATGAAATGTTACATCTGATTTAGATATAATATTATGCTAAAATTCCAAGCATAATCAGTGTAACATTTCAATTTTAAAGCACAGACAAATGTACAGAGTGTACACTCCCAGACTTGACTGCAAATGGCTTTGACCACTATGACTTTGGAAAATGCAGTGGATTAATACAGGCCATCATCTATAGAATTTTGTTAAATTAAAAATTACCATGTATTTATTCTTTGTTCCCAACCATCTTATTTCCCTGACATTGATTTTCTTTTTCTTTTTTTGGGCAAGTAAAGTGAATCGTCATTTGCAAGGAGGGAAAAAAAAAGAGGCAGTGGGACAGGGTCACTTGTATAAATAAGTTAACTGCATAGTCACAAGATCACAGGCAAAATATAACACTTCTGGTAATTAAAAAGTCCAGAATGTCAGGAGATCTGAATCTCACTGATCTGTGAAACAAATCACTCAGTCATCAGCCCACCTTTAAAAAAAAACCAAACAATATACACACACAAACCCCTAGCATTTCAAAATGACTATTCCAGACAATTTGCATCTTTTAAAATGCAACACTGACTCAACAGTAAGTTTCAGTTAGAAAGTCATGTGTCCTTTAAGAGTGAAAAGAGTGTGTTTGGTTTCTCAGCTTAAGTAATAATTTTTTTTGTATATGGTTGCATTTCTATGTATACACACATGCATGCTTATGTAGGTAGACACACACTCCATGTTTGATGATAAAGGTGAAGACATTGCATATTATGCATCAATACATAAGGTACACATATTTGGAAATTTTTTTGTGGAAGCCCTTCTAAAATTAACTACTAATAGTGTCCAGACAAATTTCTCTATGCATTTGGAGTATTTCCAGAAAGAAGCTGCATGCCAACAACTTCAACTTGTTTCCTCTCCACCCATTCATAGGGCTGCCCAGTATTTCAAGGCCTAAGAAGCAAGGCAAGAAGCCATGCTTCAGGAGAAGCACTCACCTAGCTCACCCGCTGCATTTCGACCACCGACTGCATACAAATGTCCTTTGAGGGCACTTAGGTGGAAGAAGGTGCGCTTCTCATTTAAAGATGCGACTTGCATCCACTTGTTGTAGCGAGGATCAAACCTAAAGACCGTGTCAACCGCTGTCTTTCCTTTCGTGTCGTAATTGCTCTGGCCCCCAACTACGTAAAGAAAATTTCCGATCACGGCGATGCCATGCTGGTACCTTGGTGCATCCATGGGAGCTAAGGATTTCCATTCGTGGGCCTTTTCGTCATACATCCGTAACTCCTTGCTGACAACCAGTTGCTGCCTCAGCACTCCCCCCAACGTCACCAAGTGAGTACTGTCCGACCGAATGGCAGTTCTCTCCGACTGCATAACCGGTTGCATGTATGGCATCATTTGGTAATTGCTAGCTTCCAAAAGCAAGTTTACACAGGTATTGTCAGTTCTCATGAAGTCCACTGTTTGAACATAGTTAATAAGATCCTGGGGCGTCATCAGTGGAAACCTGATGTTCTTCATTAGCTTTGCAGCGAACTCCATCCGAGGCTCCTCATACCGTAGCCAGCGACAAGCCGCCTTGAAGAGTTCAAGTTCAGTGCAGTGCTTAAGGCTATTACTTGAAAGCACAAAGGCAAGACGTTCAAAGGGGAGTTTCACAAATTCACCAGTACTTAATAATGCAGGGAAGTTCTTCAGGATGAAATTATTAACATATTTATCCACTTCTGTGAGATTGTATGTGTTGGCAATTCGCCCAACCTCAACACAGTTTTCCAGTGAAACCTATTAAGTAAACAGAAAGAGGAATCAAAACACTTTCTTAATTTGGAGTCTAAATGATAATGTAGAATTTAATGAATACTATAGAACCAGCAATATTTCATCATTCTGCAATGCTCAAGGTGATTTACACATGAGCAAATAAATATTCAATATGATGTATATATTCATGACTGCAAGGGGAGACGCAATGTATTCCTTATTTTGAAGAAAGAAATGAGACAAGTAACAAACAGATGGCATACATTAATTATGTCAAATACATTATACAATGATGATACATAGCAATTACACAGCACTTCATCTCTGAAAAGCTCTGAAACATCTTTGTAAGAAAGAAATGTAGAAAATACAGTTAGGGGAGAGGTGATCAGCCCAAGGTTACAGAGAATAATGCAAAAGTAGGTCTCGCCATTAGACATTGTCTAACCTTACTAAAATTGTATTGTCATAATGCAGCCCAAGAGAAAGGCACAGCTACCTTGCCAATGCCATGTATTTGAGACAACTTATTTACAGCACTCAATCCCATGAATACATTCCTTAGAAATTAAAAAAATTGCATCTTTAGTAAATCAAGGTGGTCCTCTTACGGAGTATTTTCCAAATTAAATATATGTCATTGTCAAAAATAAGACAAAGGTGGTGATTTTTTTTTTGTGTATATATATATATATATACACACACTCTTAAAAAAAAAAAATACATCTAGGAGTATTTCCCCTAGAAATGCCCAGCACATTAAATGCTTTTGCAGTATGGATCATACCCTAATTTCATTCAATACTTGAGTAACCATATCTTGGTAATCACATCTTTTACACTGTTGCTGCATCTACCTTGCTTACATCTTTTGCCCCCAAATTTCTAAGGTCACTTGGGATCCAAGGCAGAGAGAGGAAGAAAGATGGGAAGGACAGGACATAACTTAAAGCGGGGTCTCCAGTGAACCCAGCCAATTCTTTCCAGCAAGCTCTACAGTACATATGCAAAGCGAGTCAATTTTCAGACGCTTCTTGCTGAGAATTGCAGCTTTTTTGCATTCAATCCTTATTCCAGCCCAAGCTTCATTTACACATGCTTTCTAGTCTCTGTACACGCCAGTCCTACTCAATGTCGACAATTTCCACAGCTTTGTGATTCTCATTACATTTGTAATGCCAAAAGAATTTAAACTCCCAAATCTCATGGTAATATTTAAAAAGATTATAAAGATTGAGGACTATGACCTGATTGCAGTCTAAGAATTCAAAAACCTTCAAATGACTTTCTAGTCATGACAGTGGTTACTACATTTTAACCTGTAATCAGATTATAACTCAATCTGATCATTGCCCTTTAATACTAGAAAATTCAAAAGTCTAATGAGTATGGGAATAGGAGATTGTTTGAATTCACTAGAAACTGATCTAACGTGCCCTAGAGTTAAGATCTGCAGTCATCAAAAGTCTTCCTTCACACATCCTGAAACATCTTTCTTCAGTCAAAGGTTCTATATCTTACTCTTCAGCTCCAGGAACACTAATCCTATAATCAGGTCCTACTTATAAAATGAACGTGGGGCAGCCTGTCAGTTCTATTACAAAAATATCCAAGCATACATGGAAATTATTTTTGTTTTACAAGACAGACCACACTGATGATATCAAAATTTAATCACATCAGCTAGCCATGACCTACAAAACATTCTCTGATACTTAAGAAACTTTTTTTTTCCTCCTTTGACTGTTTTTGAGAGTCAGTATCAAATTAATTTCTGTCCATTTCCTTTTAGGATTTTTAGTTTACATAAATTAATTGCATAACAGAAGTAGCAGCATACCTTAAATTAAGTAAATGAAACAGGGCATTCTTACTTCCAAAATTTCTTTCAAGCTGTATAATAAAAATAAAGCAATGGAAAAACCACCCCTTAAACAGCTGACTTTTGTATGTCACAAATCTTAACTCTTGCTATACAGTTACTGTATTTAAAAATTACTTTGGAATACATTCACTGGCATCAAACTACGGAGATGCAGCAATTTCCCCATATCAAGGTAAGCATACAGAAAGGTATTGCATACAGATTAGGCATGCTTGAAGTCAAAGGATCAAAGCAGAAAAGGTACAGACTACGTACCATTGGCACATGGTGTTCAGGCTGCAATGGAGTATTTAAGACCTATTGCAGAATGCACAGCAGTTATCAAGCACCCAGCATGCATCCAGTTGATGTATTATCATAACTATGTTACACTGTAAATCTATGCAATGGAATATATCCCTGGAATACTTACATTTGAGAAATTTATTGACACTTTACACACCGTTAATGACTGATGTACATGACATCAACAGTTTCCAGTCACCCCCTAATTCTCAGAAAATTTACCTTATATCGCTTTAATTAGTCCGCTGGAATTGTAGTGCACTCAGGGTTTTATTTCAAACTATGATTGCAAGTACATCACATTATGCTTATGAAATTGTGCACTTTGCTTGGCTTACTAACAAATTCCACCATTCACCTCAAATCAGGGTACCACATTAAATACTTTCTTAAAGGTTACTCTCCTTGCCAAGAGTACTATTACCAATTTTACTGTGCTCTAAGATAACAATCAATGTACCAGGCTAAATTATATTGCAGAGATTTCACAGTCATAAAAATACATACCCTAGAGATCCCTAAGTCCTGAGCCAAAAAAATAATCCTCCAACAGAATGAAATGCAATAATTACTTCTACTTAAATATTCAAAATTGGATGGCATTAAAGTACAACAATGCTATTTAAACACTTAAGTACTTAAGTTACTCAAGTGTTGATTAAAAAAAACAGTTTTACTTATGCTACGGTACTTATGAGAGGTGTGGAAACCGTTTTCTATGGAAGTCAGTCAATCAGGAGCTCATCAACAGAAGGAACTGCTACTTCTGGCAATCCCACTGAAGTGAATGGGAGGAATGGAAATATTAGACAAAAACAGAAGACTGTGCAGTGAATCCAGCAACTAGTAAAGATACTCAATCAGAACCAGAGAAAAGCCATAACTGGACAAACAGCTAAACAACTTCATAAGAAGTCAAGAATTTTAGATAAACACTATTTTACTTGTGCTTTGACTAATGCGCAGAACTGCTCATTCACATTAGTCATTGTAATTGCTCATTACAAAGCAGTAGTAAAAGTTCCAGGAAAATACTAAAAAGCTTTTAAAAAAAAATAAAGGTCAAGCACAGCACGTTATTACAGCAAAAGCCACAGTACCTTCTCGAGAAAGCAGTTGATTTAATTCTTTGAAATTTTGAAGCAATCACCCAAGATCTTGTATAAAACTTAACTGACTATAAAATACTACAAAACTGGACACAGAACAAAATGATTGCAAGTGTAAGAAACCTGGAGAACGACTCAGGAAAAACAACATGCACAGAAAACCGAGTCCTCAAGCCCATTACCAGAAAATATTTACGCGTCTAACTGTTTCAATGCCTGTTAGACACTGAAGTACTTAACGTGGTGTTCCAAGGGGTCTAAGTTTAAAAGAGCACACATTCCCTTGAAATCCTCAATTTTTCTGTGGGTTCCCATATGCAGAAATCCAGAAATAAGAGCACAGAAATTTGACCAGCTCTGAAAACAGAATTAATCGTACCCCCTTGTTAGAAAAGGTGGATTTCTGGTGGCTGGCAGAGCCGGCCCCAGCATTAAGACCCCACACTCCCACAAAACTGAGACCATCTTGCTCCATCTTCAGTTAACCAAGTTCTTGTGACAAGACAGACTTCCAAATAGAGACCTCAATATTTGACAATTTGCTAGTTGTTACAAAAATGTAAAGCACAGAATTATAGAAGGAATACGATTTTCTTACGCAGCTACATGGAAGCCAAGACAATTTTCAGTGTTTTGAAATGTTTTTAATTACAGTATAATATCCCCTTCCCTATTACACTGGGATTTTCCCCGAGTGCCGCAATTTACTTGGTTAAGATTCTCATCTTTCTCCATTTTGTACACTGCTGCTACTTTTGCAAAAAAATTATTGTGTATTCTCTAGCACTCACTAGTCTGAAAACATTTCCATGGTATTTTTATTAATTTCAATTACATTATGCCTCATTTAGATGTGAACCTGGGAGTAGTCCTAGGTCTACAGTCCTATCATGTAGCTATAAATATTTAAAACGAGTACTAAAAGTAAGACTGAAAACTTCTTAGGAAGTATTCCAGTGTTTCTCTGGGAGTCTGTTCAGCTGCAGAGCAACTATCAGAGCAATGGGCTACTTGACAGGAGGGTTGTAAATGCAGAACAAATAAAAGAACACTTACAAGTCAGCTACAACATACACCACTCTCTGAAGGTTTTGGTTTGGGGTTTTTTATTTGGGGTTTTTTTGTTTGTTTGTTGGGGTTTTTTGTTGGTTTTTTGGGGGGTTTTTTTGTTTTGTTTTTTTACACAAATTAAGCTGTTACCTTAAGCTTATGTTTTTCTTTGTAAATATTTCCAATACCCTCTTACGAAGTAACACAGTTACATTTTGCTTTACATAAACCGACTTCTATAATCTCTTTAATAATGGACTCCCTAGACAATTCAAAAACAATTAAGTGTTTGTCTGGGAATGGTTATATCAGCTCTCAGATGCTGCTCTCAGCTAATTTCAGTAGAAATAAGCTCAAGACTTGCTCAGGGAACTCATTTAAATTACAGAAATGTTACTTCAAGAATGGAGCAAAACTAGTATAATCTCTGTAAAGTTAAGATATGGTAATTAAAAAAAAGCACAACCCACCAAGTTTGCTCACCAACTCTTGCTCCTGTTCAAATTCCAAAGAAAGCTCATTCAAAAATTCTTTATACAGGGATGCTGAGAACATAACTAGGCTAACAGCACAAAATTAGTTTTGTACTTTCTCTACAGTTATACAATGAATGAAATTATGTCCCATTAGACATAAATATAAAGGAAAATATTTAAGAGAAGAGAATCAATAAAATTATGAAAACAAAAAATCTTCCTGACTCTGAACCTCATCCCTCAGAACATGGTATCAAACAAGACGTTTCTTACTTGAACTGAAACAGTGACTAAGTCAACACCTTAAGTGAAGGAACCTTCAGAAAACAAGCACTTCAAACAATGAAAAAATTCTTCCAAATAGCATGATTTAAGATGAAAAAGCAGCTGCCCTAACCAGAAAGAGGAAAGGGCAACGGTGTGTCCCCAGGGCTCACCTCCCATCAAAGGGAGACCACTCCAAATCCCTGACTCAAAACAACACCAAGACCTTATTCCAAGTTGGCATTTATAGCAGAGTCAACCCTAGAGAGGCAGACTGCATCATTTTGGAAGGCAAAAAAAAAAGTGCAACATAAAATAGGTAGCGCAGGATTTAAGAGTGTTAAATTAATGAAATGTTATCACAACATTCTCAGAGAACTGGCCAATTACAAAAGATGCCAAAATTAAAAGGAAAACAGTAGCATTATAGAGCCTAAATGCCTCTAACACTTCCTTTACGAAACAGGTTGCTGTTATCAGCAGCCTGAGTCCTCCTGCTTGCATAAATCCCAGTACATGTCTTCATTAGGGAGGTCAAATTGCTGAGCCTGTAGTCTGAGGAGCAATGGGAATACCTGCTGCTTTATTTCTCATTACTGACCATCAGAAAGCTGAATTCCAAATAATATTATAACTCATGTAGAACACACCAGTTTCCCTGTTACTGGTAAAGTGAGATTTCTAGTAAGGTATATAAGCAATTAACATTAACATCAGAAAACCTCCAGGAAACCTTAGAAATAACGCCAAAGTGTCTCTCTAGGCAGAACCGCTTTGACAGCACAGCTCTTGCAGCTCTCGTTCTGCAGCCCCACAACATCGGTGCGCCTTGTTGTTGGCAGGACAAAAAGTCCTATTAATACAAGACAGCAGGGCAAGAACGAGGAAAGGTGTTCAAGCATCATATATTGGCATTGCTTATAAGCTGTGTTTAAGTTAGAAAACAGATAACTGCACCCATATTCTGAGGCTGCACCGTTTTAACTACAGAAATAAAGCGAACATAACTGAAGCACACAAAATGCATGCAGTAAGTTGACTGTAATGCTAGAATGAGTGCAGTCATGCAGCGAGACCCTGAAACCTCTGATACGAGATTTAAGTAGTAAAGGAAGTTCAAAAAATGAAAACCTCTGAAAAACCACCCAACATGTGTATGTGACCTATGCGTTATAAACAACAGGATTAAACAGAGCAGTATAAATCCAATGCATTTAACAAGAGGTTGGAGCCAGATAAATGGAGTGTTTTCATGTCACCTCTTTCCTCACATGCCTTTTCCCACCCGTGAAGATAGAACCCAGGAAAAGGCTTACAAGAGAAGTGTTACCACTTAACAAGCTGAACCCTTAACAGCTCTCTTGCTTTTGCAAAAACAGAAGTTTGTTTTTAATACAGAGAAAACTGCAAAACTGTTTGACATTTGATTTGAAGGGAGCATGGCATTCTTCTCCAAAGCACAGCCTCAAAACAAAACAGGACACCAACTGTGAAAGAGGAAGGGAAGGAGGAGGAAAAAAGGAGGAGGAAAAAACATTGTTATCAAAGTTCCTCCTCCCTCCAGGGTGAGTTCAGGACCCAAGATTTTAATCTCTATAATAAATAAAAATCAGCAGGGGAACTCTAAATCATAGGCAGACTGCATTGCATTAGAACTACAGCATCCTGCTTTGCAGGGCAAACTTTTTGTTTGTTCCAATTGCACAAAAGCAACCGTGCTACAAGCTGCGTACATATCATTCTTTTAACTAACCATTATTGGAAGAAGAGGAGAGGGTTGCTACTTTGGGGGCTGTCCCCTGCTTACAAAAGCACTTGTTTTGGTGATTGTGAAAAAATATTTCCCAGTAGGCATTCAAGGCCATTTTTACTTCTAGCAAAATATGGCAATCAACAAAAAATCCTTGTAGCTACTTTTCTCATATAAGCGACATTGCTGTAACAACCCTATTAGTAATCCCTTTAGAGGATAAATTATTCTAAAGGACTGTGACCAAGTTCACTAGCTTACAAAGATGATGTAATGGTTGGTGATCATCGCTACAACTGTGGGCTTCATTCCTCAAAACAAAAGGGTTTCGATAAAGTAGGTCCACAGACAGCAACCGCAGCTCACTTTTCTAGTATTTTTTTCAGTTTAACTCACGAAGTAGCTCTCTTATGGAAGGATACAGAGTGTGAGGGCATGAACTAAGAAATGCAGTAAGGAATCTGGGAACTATGATTATCATCGCCGCTACCTTCACTGCAATATGCTTAGGAATTAGAAGAATTTTAATGTGGTATAACATTTATATCAAACTCACACTGTACATAATACTCAGAAGAAAAAAGGATCTCAAGAAAACTACAAAGCAACCTTGTTTCTATGTGAATCCAAATTAAGAATAACGGCAAGTTTTAGACTTAACTTGCACTGTTACATCGTCATTGTTCTTATAAAAAAAGCCACATACCGAGGCCTTAATCATTGTAAATGTGAAACAAGTAGTAAGTCTTACCCCAGAGATAAGAAACACTTTACAGAAGTCCAAAACAGGTAAAATCTGCAAAAAACTGGCAGCTTCCAGAGTGTCCTGAAGGTTGTCCATGTTAAGGGAAAGTTTTGCAGTATAAATGAAATCAATTATCTTCTTTAGGCCTATTTTGTTCACACCATGAAGCTTAATGCACATTAAATCCTGTTCCTTCATTCCTCCTGAAAAAGACAAGTAGGTAAGCTTATATGAGCATTTTGATTGGGTTGAAAGCATTTCATAAACTTAAACAAAATTAAAATACAATTTTAAAGTTTAATGTAAAAACCCATTTGCATCAGTAGAGAGTACAACTACGTAAAGTTGTTTGCAGTCCGGGGCTGATTCACATGCAACACTGAACATGCGTCCAAGTGTCCAAACAGTGGCAATTTGGAGAGAGCAGTGAGCATTATTTTAACAAAAACGGCACCTGTGAACATAGCCTTGAAGTAATCACTTGCAGAAGCCATCATCGCTCTGTGAACAGGAAACACTTCGTCACCATCCCCTGGAACAAGCGTCACATCACAAAGCAAACCTTCCACTCGCAGCTGGTCAAAACCCTGCAAGAAGAGCATAATGCAAACCATCCATTTGATTGGGGAGGGGAGTAGGAATCTCATTTCCCTTATGTAAATACTCATTTTATATACATCTGTACTGTAGTTCCAAAAAGTCACTAAGAAATAATTTGTCATCTTACAACCATTATGTCTAGCCTATTCAATGATAATTTTTCATTGGAAAGCAAGCAGGATAATTATCATTTTCCAGAAATGGCTGAAGAATGCAAAGTACACTGGAGTAATTAAGTTATTTTCACAAAGGAGTTTCTTTTGTAAGCTTGCATTCCAGGACTGTTTCAGGGACTGATATCTTTTTTTGGACCTACCCTTTCCAGACACATATGCATTCTAGATACATTTCTCTTCCACATCAGTTTAAGTGCTTTGCAACCTAAGAGACTGCAAAATACTGGGGCCTGAAAGGAAAGCTGTCACCTGGTTCTATGATTATCAAATTTATTCTACCGAAGGTTACATGGCAAAAGCTCCAAAATAAGCTCACATTATAGAGCTGATCTTTTCCAACTTACTTATAATGGCTAAAAGTAATAAAAAAGACAGACATCTACAACAGCACCCTAGAGCAAGTTTTCCCTCTAAAGATGTGCCCAGCTGGGGGGATACTGGAGGATGGGTGGAATATTCCCCTCCACATGCACTGCGGAACAGCTCAAACAGAAAACAAATTCCTTCAACTGGGCATGCCTGATGTTTTTCTAGCACTAACAAGAAAGTAAACATTGTCTTTATAGACTGAACACTTAGAGAAGTCTTTGCATCAGCCCACATGGTTTAAAATTTAAGATATTTTAAAGCAAGGCTGTATTTTTAAAACTGCAAAGGGAAGTAGAAATGAACATTCAAACTTGTCACACAGAAAAGAACAGAGTGCAAATGAAAAAATTAGTATTAGCTCCAATAAATCAGAAGCCAAACACAGGATTACACAGAAATAACTTATTTCAATGATTCAAACAACTCGCCTTTACAACTACCAGTTATCTATTTGCTCAATTTTGAAGAAAATAAAACTGAGGAGGAAATAAGCTCTGAACGCTTTGCCTGGTGTTCAAGTGAGAGCGCGCTGTGCACAAACACTCAAGCTTAGAAACTAAAACAAAAGAACCACTAGCTTCTCTGGATTTAAAAAAAAGTCAATTTGTTGTCCCAAAACTTAGACAATCTATTTAGGCAGCTGTATCAGGGTTGCATGGCAAGGTTTTGGTAGCTGGGGGGGCTATGGGGGTGGCTTCTGTGAGCAGCTGCCAGAAGCTTCCCCCAACTCCAACAGAGCCCTCTCATGGGAGGGATGGACCCATGCTGGAGCCGTCTGCTCCTGAGGGACTGCACCCCACGGGAGGGATGGACCCATGCTGGAGCCGTCTGCTCCTGAGGGACTGCACCCCATGGGAGGGATGGACCCATGCTGGAGCCATCACCTCCTGAGGGATTGCACCCCATGGGAGGGATGGACCCATGGTGGAGCCATCTGCTCCTGAGGGACTGCACCCCATGGGAGGGATGGACCTGTGCTGGAGCCGTCTGCTCCTGAGGGACTGCACCCCGTGGGAGGGATGGACCCACGCTAGAGCAGTTCATGGAGGACTGTCTGCCATGGGGGGGACCCCAGGTTGGAGCAGGGGGGAGTGTGAGGAGTCCTCCCCTGAGGAGGAAGGAGCAGAGACAGCGTGGGATGAACTGACCCCAACCCCCATTCCCATCCCCCTGCACCGCTGGCAGGGAGGAGGTAGGGAAAATGGGGAGTGAAGTTGAGCCTGGGAAGTAGGGAGATGTGGGGGGAAGGTGTTTGAAGGTTTAGTTTTTATTTCTCATTACCCTACTCTGACTTGATTATTTAAATTAAACTAATTTCCCCAAATGGAGGCTGTTTTGCCCATGACAGTAATTACCAAGTGATCTCTTCCTGCCCTTATCTCGACCCACGAGCCTTTCATTGTATTTTTCCCTCCCTGTCCAGCTGGGGGGGGGCACCTGGCATCCAGTCAGGGTCACCCCACCACAGCAGCAAATTGAAAAAGTGAGTGGCAGTTCTCCAAGGAGTCAGGCCACACAGAAGTCGCCTGCGCTCCTGAGAAAGCTCTTGCTACTTTCCAATGCAGTCTATGCAAGCTGTAAGCTTGACTCAAAGCTCCAGCAGAAAGGAGAAGATAAAATGACTTTACTTTTAAATTCTTAAAGCTTCAGAGAGGATAACGTTTTTATCCATTAGATAACACTTTTATCTGGTTCTGCCGTATGGTAGCGCCATGTAGTCAGACCCAGCACAGGGTGTTGCACCAAACCTGGCAGGGCTCTGCCACCCGAGGGACGTGAAGGAGCCGGGAGCTCTCCTCATTCCCATCCCTAAGGCCGCTTTCACACAGGAGAAGGTACAAGTGTTTGCCTAACATAATTACATGATTATATTCAAGTGAGCTTCTTTGATAGAGCTGTCAATTCATAGTTTAAATTATATTACCTCTTAAAAATTGGCAGTGGACAGGGATACAAGCCAAGGAAAAGGCAGGTTTTTTTCCCAAGCTGTTGCTGAAAATTGAACCTTTAACTCGCAGGTAAGAAGTTACAAGCCACGCTTGCTTGTGGGCACTGTCAGCATAGCACACTAATGTGCATTTTGTTTTGAGACTTTTCAGGAATTATTAGTCTGATAAAGTCTATTAAGTTGAGGCACTGTTTAGAGCAGCCAAAATTCTCAGTACAGATCAATACTGACACAAGAATATTTAATTACCTGTAATACCACAGAACTGTGAGTATTGCTGGTGAAAAATCTTGTGGTCCCTGTCTTAGAAGACTGTAGATGGGCAGAGATGCCCATATCGCTGCTACCAAGAGATACTTTCATATGAGGATCCTCCTCTTCCACCAGAGATCTAAGAAGATTAGAACAAAGAAGCCTTAAGACCAAACTCATTTTCATTAGGTGCTCTTGTGTATTAAAACCACAGTCTCTGGGATGAAACGTAACAGCGTAGAGGCTATAGGTCAAAAATCAGCAGGTGACAGAATCAGTCCTTAGTGGTCCTCTCCAGCTGATCTAAGAAAGTGAAGCGTTAACAGTCTTAAACAGCATAACTTCAAAACTTAATTTTCCACTAATAAGTTTGTCCTTTTCCTTCCACCCCCACCTCCCTAAGACACTTGCACACTATTTTACTTGTATGTGTGCTTCCAGTATTGTAGGATGCTCGCAGGGGTTTCATCCAGTTTTCAAAATCCAGTATCTTTCCAAATTGCCAAGGAAAGCTGAAAGATTGAAGCTCTAAATGTAATGTAATATTAAAGTTCAGTAATTTCATTTTTATGGCTTGCACTATCTTGCTCAAGTATGAACACAATAATAGAAAATATACAAAGTGGAGTTCCAAGCTGTAACTTTAAGCTACCTTTAGAAGCATACAACTAGAAGAACTCCTTTAGGACACGATATCCAGTATTTTGCTACTGCAGGCAACCACTTCATAATTTTAATTTGTTAGCGTGAAGACAATAGTTATGGTTTTGATTCCAAGCAATTACTGTCCAAATCTAGATAGGAAGGGCTAATTTTAGGTAGAACTACTACACTATTATTAGCCTTCCATTTTAATCTTGAAATGTAAATTAGGTTTACATAAAGATATATGCATATGAGATTCTAACTAACCTAACCTGTGATTATTATAAAATGTAAATAAATTTCATCTGCAGAAATATTAACAATAACTAGTTCCTGTAATTTCTGCGATCTAATGTACTACCTATTAGCATGCATAGCAGTATAATGCATATATACACAATATTAATTAGCAAACATAAACTGCTAGTCCACAGATGAGGGCATCTTCATTATTAATAAAGACTCCATGTTTCAAAAGAGATTCATAGCAGTTTGACATAATTGCTGCAAATCTCAGATACAAAAAATTCTCCAAATGTTAAACGTGCAGGTGAAAACATTGGCCTCCAAGCTAGTTTCAGAAATTACTTTAAGTGACAAGAATGTGCTTAAATTCCACCCCCACCCCAATTTTAACTGTGATCACTATGTAAGGTCAAATTTGGAATTTGTGGATGAAAAAATAATTTTCATAGAATTTTTTTCCCAAACAAAGTTTTGTTTCTTTTGAAAAGAAATATTTACCCCCACCTTCTTTGGATCCATGGACTATGTAGAGCAGTTTCTGAAACTCAGGTTACCCTGCTAGCCCTGATGTGCCTTGTTCAAACCCATGAGTACATAAGGTCAGCTATGAAAACATAGTCAAAACAAATTCACCATTCAACAGTGTACATGGGTTTGAAACAGTGAGATTTTATGCACACAGACGTAACAACAGATTGTAGGAACAAGGGTACATCCAAATAGCTTTGACTTCTAATGTAGCAACCCAGTATTCTGACATCTGAAAAAATTAATAAATGTGGAAGTACACAGTTATTCTTGCAGCAAGCAAGAATTGCGTAGTTTTTGAAACAGAATTCTCTCTACTTTATAAAACAAATCCAGCGTGTAATTTAAATAAAGTTTTACAGGGTGTACCTTAGAAAAGTGCTCTCCAAACTATCTTTGGCATCCATCAAATGATGTAACACAGCAGCAAACCAGTTGCTTGCTCATGACCCAAAGTATTTTTGTTCACTTTGTGGCAGCCATTTGGGGGGGGAAGGCATGGGCATTTGCGTGTTTGTGGGGGTTTTGTTTGTTTTAGTTTTAATACAATCATAACATGGAAAGAGTCTAACATAATTTCAAAGGACACTCAGCCTCTAAATTTGTACATGTCTAAGAAGAAATATAAAATAATTTGGGGAGACTTGTAAGCGTGGGTGGGAAGGAACGTCAGATTCAACTAGCATGAATCTGACTGTATGACTGTATTTGCTCTTGAAAAGTCTTCCTGCAATGTCAGATCAGATAGCCGTTATATGAAGGGGCTTTTAAAAGACTTTTTCTAAACTTAGAATAAAACAGAAGATGTACCCATCAGTTAAAGTCATTAGGAAAAGCAACATACAAGTGAACCAACTTTCTTGGCTGTTTGGAGTGGGCTTTTTACCACATTTGCCACATACCCCATGCTGCTTTACTTCCCAACAGCCAGCATACTTCATAGGTTTTAGAAATGAAGGCAAAGACCTTGAGCACCATTCATTTATTCCAAGAATGGCAGTGATAATGGAAGCATTTTTCCGAACAGGCCACATTACACACAACTTCCCACACTCCGTCCTAAGAGGTCCCCTATAGCATGGGATGCCTTGTTACCACTGCACAGCTGACAGAGAGGATACAATATATTTCAAAATAAAGTATGCATTTAAGGTGCCAGGTGTGGCTGTAAGTAGTTATTTCCCCTTCCTGATTTTCAATACATAATGGGCAGTTGTCTAATACCTGTATCACACATTAAGCTCAGCAGCTCACAACTTGATGCTCTTCTGCAGAAGAGATTTTCATTATTTCTCTTCCACATTTGCCATTATGTATGTACAAGAACTTGCGTATGCGAATTAGACATTAAAAATTACAAACTTCCACACTGTAAAAATCTACCAGAATATAAATGTTCCAGTTCTAGTCTCAACATTAACTTGGCTGCATAAGACTCCACAAGAATAAACTTATTTAACTTTTTAACAGTTATTTAACTTTAATAGTTAAAACTATTTAACAATTGTATTGTTCCTATAGTGGTTTTTGCTTTATAACTAAAGAACGATAACAAATTAAAAACAAAAAAAAAAGGGGGGGGGGGTTGGTGCCTTTTTTTGTTTGGGTGGCTGGGGGGGCTGTTTTTAAATACACCACCTTTTTTAACCTCCAGCTTAGCAGCGCAGGAAGGCAGAGTCCCTCTCCCATCACGCAGAAAGCGACATTCAGGAGCTGGTTTTGGCAGAAGTTACAATACAAGTCAGCAGTAAGACCTGGCGACAGCACACGGTTCCCTGAATCCCAGCCTTGTGACATTCACCGAGAAGAAAAGAACACTCCCGGAGCGACCAGAAATTATGAGTTTGTCCTTGGCTTTGTACCAGTTTCAACATTTATCTTCATGCAACAAGAGAAACGTGTCTTTGTAAGAAAAAGTAAAAATGCAACGGCTCTTACACACTGTGCTGATGCCAATACACAGAGAAACAGCAAAACCCAAGCACTGTATCATTTACAATGAGAGTAATTTCAAACTGCCCTGCAAAGAAATTTTTAACTATTCAGAATATAACTTCTGTTTGGGGGGCTGTAAAGTGAATATTTGGCAATACCTGCCATTCACACCCAGAACAGACAGGTAACAAGCTTCATACCCAACCACATTCCCAACAAAAACACAGTAAGTACATCTGTCTTGTTTGGACACTTACCAAACGTGTTATTTACATTCATCTATGTGGGTCTGCTAAGCACTATAAATAATTAGATACTAACAAATGTAAACATACCAATTTTTTACTTTAAGTACAGTCTATCACAATTAAGTATACTACCAAAGAAGAAAGCTAATTCATTTTCTGATTTACTTTCTTGTTCTGATCCATAGAAACCATTCAACAGGACGTGCAGCAGCTGCATTTTTAACCAGGGTTAAAAAAAAAAAAAAAGTTGGAGGAGACAGCTAAAACTGCAGTGACATGCAGTGATAATTCCCAAGAAGTTGCTCTAAATGTGGATATTAACACCACTTCCAATGGATACACTTGGTCTGGAGGGGGGTGAACATTATAGTGTTGGGAATGGTGGAGTTTAATGTGAAATGAATATTAACATTGCAATAGCAAGGCAGAGGAGCTGCCTGACTTCCTGCAACCTCTGGGAAGCAGTGGCTCGCAATTCCGAGAAAGGTACCAGGGGTTAATAGTTGCTATCACAGAATAAGCTGTCACCCAGAATTCTCTTTCTAACCTTGTGTTGATTCTTTCAAGTACAGCACAGTTTTTTCCTAGCTCCTGTAAGCAAACATGCTTTTCTCATGACTCCAAGTTAATCCAAGTACTTCCAACTGGTATTTTTGTAGAGATGAGCGTGCATTATATGGATATTAATTATATATCAATTTCCTAACTTCCTGTCAATTTTGAAGGAAGATAGCTTTACTTTTTACCATTAAAAAAAGATTTTAAACTGATTTTTTTCTTTCTGTAGATGACTGCCCACTAGATTTGCTTTCAATTATTTTCTGTCTAAAGATACTATTTTTAATCTTGTTCATCTACTAAAAGGTACCCAAACACCCTCTTTGACAACCTGCAATTAGCAATTTCTTTAGAACTCGAAAGACGACCGTAAGCCAAATACTGAGCTATTAAAAAAAAAAAAAAGTACAATAGTTCATGAGTCTTGCCAAGCTAATTTAAAGAAGCCACACTGACTTTTTGGGTTTGGGTTTGTGAATTGGGTTTTTTTTTTCCACCGAACAGGCAAAGGAAAGCCATAGCTAACACCACCCTAGTGGAGAAAAAGTTCAAATGGAACAATTCAGTAGTATTATTTAATATTTCATTGACTTGAAAAATACAAGTTCAGTGGCTTTTAAGTACTAGTCAGGTATAGAATTCCCTAAATCTTGTCACAACACAGGACAAAATAGAGCGGGGTAACAACAGGAACACCTGGCTTCTGTTAGTGAAGACAACCGAAAGGTGAAAATCATCTCATCAGGTCTTCATGAGTTTCTAGGTTTAATTGCTAGCACCTGCACTCAGAGAAGTGCCCCCAGTAACTATCTAGACAGGCACAAACACAAGGGAGCTCAGCATTTCAGAAGAGTACTAAATACATAATTTGAAAACACACAAACTGACCGAAGCATTTTCAGGGCTTCTGTCCATGACTGCTCCCAATTCTGTACGCAGTCTCTCTAGATTAAACACAGTGAATTATGGAATCTGTGAA